CTCATCTCCAACACACACTCACTCATCTACGTCACACACACAATCATCTCCGTCACACGCTCACTCATCTTCGTCACACACTCACTCATCTCTGTCACACACTCACTCATCCCTGTCACATTCACTCATCTCCAACACACACTCACTCATTTCCGTCACACACTACCTCGTCTCCGTCACACACTCCGTCATCTCCGTAACACACTCCCTCATCTCCGTCACACTCCCTCATCTCCGTAACACACTCCCTCATCTTCATCACACACTCCCTCATCTTCATCACACACTCCCTCATCTCCGTCACACACTCCCTCGTCTCCGTCACACTCCCTCATCTCCGTAACACACTCCCTCATCTTCATCACACACTCCCTCATCTTCATCACACACTCCCTCATCTCCGTCACACACTCCCTCGTCTCCGTCACACACTCACTCATCTCCAACACACTCACTCATCTCCGTAACACACTCCCTCATCTTCATCACACACTCCCTCATCTTCATCACACACTCACTCATCTCCGTCACACACTCCCTCGTCTCCGTCACACACTCACTCATCTCCAACACACTCACTCATCTCCGTAACACACTCCCTCATCTTCATCACACACTCCCTCATCTTCATCACACACTCACTCATCTCCAACACACTCACTCATCTCCGTCACACACTCACTCATCTCCATGTATTCGGGCGTCAGGCCCACGAAGGGCTCCAGGAAGTAGTCTGTCTCGTATCTCTGCAGCTTCTTCTCGTACTCCTCCTCCTGGAAGGAGCGTCTCTTAGATTTGATGAATCTGATCAGCTTCTTCATTTTTCTGCAAGAAAGTAAATCATACTCCTGCATGATGGTGTGTCTGTCTCTGTGTGCATGTGTGTGTGTGTGTGTGTGTGTGTGGAGTGTTGGATACTCACGGGATGCCGATCTCGAACAGGTTGTTCTGGATGAGCTGCTTCCCGAGCATGGTGATGCTGAGCTGAATGCAGAGCTCCATGAGGCAACCGCCTTGAGCACACTACACACACACACACACACACACACACACACACACACACAGGTTTGTTTTGCTTGATCTTAGTGAGCATAGATCGGGGTTAATGGACCTGGATCTTGGGGGGATGGGGGGTGGGTGGCTTGTCGGGTGGGGTGTCATGGACGAAAGTGAAGAGGGTTGGGGAGTGGCAGAGGGGGGTGTGCAAGTGAGGAGGGGGATCAGTCAAATGTGGTGCCGGATGAGATTTCAGAGCTGCCGGATCCGATTTGTTCAGGCACAAACCCTAATCTAACCCTCACAGAAACAAGTGCAACTCATTATACATCAATAAATACATGTTTATTAAAGAGGACAGTGTGTGTGTGTGTGTGTGTGTGTGTGTGTGTGTGCGTGCGTGCGTGCGTGCGTGTGTGTGTGTGTGTGTGTGTGTGTGTGTGGTCATACCTCCTCCATGCGGTAGGACTCAAACACGTACAGATAACTGCCTGGACGGCCGCCGAGTCTGAGAGAAGAGAAACACACACACTCAGTCACACCTTCAACACCCACTGATGCTGAATATAAACAAACAGACCAGCAGCACAGTCATCTGTTCATCACACACACACACACACACACACCTGCCTCTGAAGAAGGCGATGTAGATGATGGGAGTGAAGGCGTTCACAAACTTGAGGATGAAGGTTTTGAAGATCAGCCGCTCCTCGAAGCTCTTGTCAGTTTTCGGGACCTCTGAGGAGTGACACACACACACACACACACACACTGCACAGTGAGTGTAATTCTCCACACAGAGCAGTATGTGTGCACAGACACTGACCGAGGACGGTGAGCCAGCGCGCGACGGCTCCGTAAACTTCATCCAGGATCAGGATCACCACCAGGTTAATGATGGCCGCCGTGGTCTTGACCGTCAGCCGGACGTTGGAGCGCGTCATCGGGTTGGAGCTCATGGCCAGAGCCGCTTTGGTGGAGATGCGGTATAATATCACACCGAACACAATAGCGAAGGTCACACCGATCTGAAAAACACGCCGATACACTTCAGTGACGCACAGAGGATGCTCAGACACTGCTGCACGACTCTACTGCTGCTTAGTGTGCACAGAAGTGCTCTCTGAGCTTGATCATCTTCACATTACACCACTGAAGAGCGTTTGAGGATGTGTCTGGTCTTTTCTGCGAGTGTCTCAGGACTCGTGCTGTCTCTGGAGGATCAGGAGCTCTCGCATCTCAGCTGAAATATCTTCACTTGTGTCTGAAGATGATTGAAACTCTCAAAGGAACGTCGTGAGGCAGAGGACTTAAATCTGCATTACTGAATGAGCTGATTCTTCAATATAGTGCAGAAGTTTGGCCTCTCTGTGTGGATTTGTAAAGCTGTAGTCACCTAATGCTGATTGATCACAAAACAACGCTGATTTGAGTGACTCAGTGAACATGACCAATCCAAACACCAGCACAACCAGTCATGAAGAAGGAGATTCCAGACAGCTGATGGCTAGTTCTGCTTATCGTGAAGCTGAAAGTAGCAACAGGGGAACCTCAGCAGGACTTCCTAATGACCTAAACACTAGGATAATCCACCAACATGAGTTAGGAGAAGGAGACAAACAGCTGCCACAGAGGTGTGAGGTCTCCATCTCCACGGTCAGAGATATAGTAAGATAACAGAAGGCCTCAGGAGCAGCTCTGGTGAAGGAGAGATGAGCATGACCAAGACTAACATCTGGAAGGCAGAGGAGAAGAGTGATTAGAATGATCGCAGACCTCCTCCACTGAGCTCCAGGATCATCTCGCTGCTGATACAGTCAGTGCACACCGCTCCACAGTCCAGCACACTCTCCACACAGAGCAGCTCAACGGAGGAAGGAGATGCAGAGGAAGACCTCTCTGTGTTCTGCCCGTGAGGAGAGTCACTTGAGGTGTGCAGAGGCTCATCTGGACCAGCCTGAGTCACTCTGGAGGAATATACTGTGTACAGACGCCACAACCATAGTCGCTCTGAACACAGCATCAAGGACCGGCTCCTGCTGTGAGGTGTGCTGGAGGCTCCATCATGCTGCGGGGATGTGGCCAGCACAGCTACAGGAACCCCTGTCAGAGCTGACACCGGCACCAGCAGACTCTGAGGAGCAGTGTTCAGGAGTCAGTCAGGAGGCTGGAGATACAGCAGGGCGATGACCCACAGCACAGCTCCAGATCCACCAAGGAGTTCAGACTCAGGGCAGGGTGCACACACTTCTGCATACACATGTTTATAGTGTACGAGTGTGTGTAGGAGATTTAAGACAGAGCCCCTGCAACTCAAACAACACAGATTTGCCCACAGGAGAGGCTTGTGTGTGTGTGTGTGTGTGTGTGTGTGTGTGTGTGTGTGTGTGTGTGTGTGTGTGTGTGTGTGTGTGTGTGTGTGTGTGG